GGAAGAGAACAGCATCCACTAAAAGGAGGCAAAAACCAGAGGGGACACTGGGTTGGCATCAAGGTGATGGCCACTGCCTCAGCACCTTGTCCCCAGCAGTGGACATTTGTCTCATTCTCTCTTCTCCAACAGGGAACAGGAGCATTTCCAAGATGCCAGGAGAGCTTGCTTGAAGAACCTGCTGTTTGTTACCAAGGCAGCAGCAGCACTCAAAACGTGTCATGGCATTTTGTCCCCTATGGACCCATGGTGACAGTGGCCGTGCGCAGGACAAACTCTTCGGGAAGGCAGCTGGAGCTGCTCATCTCAACAAGTCGAACTGCATAGCTTCCTATTTTTATGATCCACCCAGGTTTTTAGCCGGTCATCAGCCCACTTTTTATCCATGACACTGATGCAGCTTCCTTCCCTTACTACTCAGCTGGTTTGCACCAGCCCATTAAAATTACAGTCATCAAATGGAAAGTTTTAATTGCTCCATTCATTATCATCAGTGGTCATATCCGACAGCAAATTTATCTGCCTGGGAACTCCCCACAGGCTTCACAAGAGCTTTTGGAGTAAATCAGGATTAGCTGGTCTGACAGTAAGGTGAGGATGGCTGGATTAAGGAACGCCACCAACTTAGGGGACCCTTTCCAACGACCTCAGCTCATGGCACCGTTTGGGCATTTACTGACCATGCAGCGACCCTGAATTAGGACACAGGGTCCACCAGAACCAACACCGATTTTAGGTTGAGAACTCTGGACCAAGGGGAAGCCTCATGGCTCCAGGGAATGATGATTTTTAAGGAATATGGAAATTTTCTCCTTCATCAACAGTTGATGCTTAGTTACTCACACGAGATTGTCAGTAGAGGACAGCAAAACCATGACCTGTTTCATAGGGCAGAGCAGGACACATCAGAAACGTGATGGGTTGTGTTTACAATCAGGGTTGTAATAATAAATCAGGGTTTTCTCCTTTCAGAGCCTCCAGCTGCTGCTGGCATCCCCACGAGCAGGGCAATGGCAAGAGAGGCATAAACTGATGCTATGGATCCCATGTATGAATTCCCAGAAACTCAAGACAAAGAGCAGATCCCTTGGGACTGGAAAGGAGTCAGCACATCTGGATCAGGGATCTGTGACCTCCACAGCTGAGGGAGATGTAGCATTTGGCCTTCACAGTTGAAACCCTTTGATTCTCACGGCAATCTGATATTTACACTAAACACGTTTACCACTTTGTTCCTTTTAAAGCTGACCCATTTCTCTGCCACTTCACTTACTCATAGGCAAGCCAGTACCACCACATAGGAGTCCCTAGCACCATATACCTGCTTTTCCACATCTCCACTGCTGGTGAGCGTTGCATCACTTTATCACTGCCTTTACAACCAGGAGTTTGTCATCAGCACAGCAACTTGCAATTTCATCAGCAAGGCACACCATTCCTGCGCTGCTTTGCCTTCCCACACCCACATTCATTCTTCAACTGCCAAAAACACCTTGTGCAACACCTCGAACTCTGCCTTCAAAATATGAGAGGAAAAACAAGAAAGCTGGAGGTGAAACATTGCATCTTTTACTGATACGGGGCCGGGGCTGAGCCCTGCAGAGGTCCCTGGAGGACACCAGACCTCCCATAGGTGTGAGGCCGGTACCCATTCGCCTGTCTCACTCCTCACTGGGTTGCACCCGCAGCAGTGTCTGGGCTCTGGTTGTGCATCAGCAATTTCAGCTCCAGCAGGAGGGGTTGTGAGTCAAGAGGGAGCACATTCCTGCAGCTCCGCACCTGCACTGCCACAGGATGGTGCTCCAGGACCGTCCAACTCAGGCCCTTTGCTTTGAAGATCTTGTATCAGAAAGCAGGACCTGTCCTATATCAGAGTTAACAAGTCCCCTTACTTGTTAGAGTGGAAAAAACCCCAAAGCCGGCTGTTAACTCAGCTTCTAGGGTGCTCCGATTTCCTAAAAGCAGGAGACAGCCCCGTGTTAAGATTCAACTGTAGATCTTCGAACAGCTTCTGAAGTAGTGGGAGCTGGGTGATTTCCTAAAAGCAGGATACAGCCCCGTGTTAAGATTCAACTGTAGATATTCGAACAGCTTCTGAAGTAGTGGGAGCTGGGAACAGATTTCTGTGATAGAAATTAGCAACAGAAAGCTCCCCAAACCCAGTGCGTGCATCACAGATTTGACAGGACCCATTTCAGCCCTATTTGATGCGCTCATGAGCTGCTAAAGCCAAAGCACAACTCTCCCTCCAACAGCCAAAGAGGAGACTTGCACAGAGTACCTGGAAAAGCTCCTCTAGATATCATAGAACCATTATGGGCAGAAAAAAACCTTTAAGATTATTAAGTGTAGTTGTTAATAAATAAATTTAACATTAACAAATGGTGCTGCTGCAATATCTGCGTACTGACACACAAAAACCCAGCTGCTGTGCCCGCTCCGTGCTCCCTTTGGGTCAACTTGGAGCCAAATCACCCTCAGCTGCCCCATGCTCGTTAGCCAATGATCCCAGGTTCCACTAAATACAACCAGCCCCCTTGGGGCAGGGGGTCTTCTTTAGAAGGTGGTGGAGGGGTTAGTTACCAGTAAGGTGCTTTTTTCCTGAGCTAGTGCTAGAAAGCTGACAGAGATCTCTGAAGCTCAGACCTTTATGTTTATATCAGTTTATTTATCTGCAATATGTTTCTCTCCCGAGTAGCCACCCGGGAGTGTTTTTCTTAGCAAGAAGAAAACCTTTCCAAGCAAAACACTTGCTGATGAAGAGCCTGCAAGTCTGCCATCCTGCTGTGAGACCATCACAGGTACTTAATTCCTGTATTAGGAGCTGGAGTGAGAAATGGCTTCAAAAGCTTTAAAGAAATGGTTTCAATGGCTTTAATGTTTGTGCTGTGTCAGAGGATGGTATTTCACTGCTGTTGTCTGTAGCTGGAATAGTCTTGGGGCTGCTCTAGCTCTTATTTTTCTTTGCTGGCTGTTTCTGTGGTTTCTCAAGGAGTTAAAGCCTTGGCGTTTTGTAGTATCCTGTCTGATAGCTGGGCTGCAGACTGCTGGGGCAATGTCCGAGAGGTTTCTCCGTGCTTTTAATGCCTTGTAGCATCGAAGTGCTTCCCTGACAGCTTGTAGAGCAACGTCTTGCCCTTTTGCTTGCTCTCCCCTACCACAAATACCCAGGATTTGGAGCAGCACCGCAGTGTGTCCTTGGTCTGGCCCGTTTTGTGGTGGGGAGGAGCTGCTGTGTGTGTCTGAGAAGCAAGTTCAGCTTGGAGAGGTGCAGGAGAGCAGGTGATGCTGACTGTGTGAAAACCAGACACTGCATAAGCTGGGAGTGCCCGGAGGAGGGCATAGCTAAGCTGCATTGACCAGTCCGTGTTTGCGGATGTGTTGGGATAGCTGGGATGCTCTCTGGGCTGTTGGGAATCCTGAGCCTTATTTCTAGTGTAAGTGGCTGAAATTCAGGTGTACATCCCCCAGGTCACAGCTGTGAGCATGTGAGGGAGGTGCTGCAATGTAAAGCAGTGTCTGCAGCAAGCCGGGCTTTTGAAATAATGAACTGAGCTTGAAATTCAGTTTTGAAATGAGTTACTGGAGGGTAATGCATTGAAAGAAACGCAGCTAGAGTGCTTTGTAAAGTTAGCTGGTACGAATTATTGTATTAAAAAAGTGTGAAATGCAGCAATAAACCCTGAATGCCACTTCTGGAGCAGTGTTAAAGGAAAGGCTTTGAGCTGTGGGTGCTGGATTTGCTCAGGTGCTGGTGATGATGAGCAGAGGGGCTGCAGCTGTGGAGCTGGTGCTGGTCTGGGGCTGGGAATGCAGCTTTGGGGCGGAGGGAGCTGTGGATGGCTCCTGTGATCACTTCTGATGCCATGGGCAGATCCCGTCCTGCATGGAAAGTGCAGGATCCATTGGCCACACGATGGAGCACAAGGAATTGCTGGAGCGTGGTGTACGAATGCACAGGGAATGATTTGGGCTAAATTTAATTGGGATTTATTGATGCGTGGGGTTCACAACAGCTCAATTTGTGAACAGCTTTATGTTCCACTGTGTACAGCAGTGTGGTCTGGGGTTAGGACACTGCTCTGAGAGCTGCTCATTGATGCACTGAGTTGGTCACCTTGGAGCTGTCTCAGCTTTTCTGTAGATTTTTGAGCCCCTGTGGGGAGCTGAGTGTTCGGTACCAGCACAGATGGAGGCAGAGCTCGTCTTTCTGTGGCTGCTGTGCAACCTGGGGATTTTCAGCTCTGAGTCAAGTGTGAATAGTGACGGAGGAAAAAACCAAAATAGAAAGTGATGCAGTAGAGGCTTTATTATGTGAGACTGGTTATATACCAGAGAGAATAAAGTAATGCAGACTATAAAGCCAGTTGGCTTCCAGCTGGTGCATCAGATATTCAAGTAACATGTGCTTCCAGAGTGAGTTACTTCACATGGTAGACCCCCTTGACTTGAAAATCAAGTCCTGTTTTCCACCATTTAACACTTTTGCCTGTCTTGTTTCTGTTGGTTGCATGCAGAATTAAACCCCATTTTTACAAAATCTCCTGTGGAACGAAGCTGAAAGCAGAAAGCAATGGTGTGTTCTTAGCCAACTTAGCATGGGAAGGCATAATTTTGTTTGGCACTGTGCTACCTGATGCCGGTTGGAGGATGCAATGTTATCCATGTGAGTGACTGTGCCTGTGGTAAAACTCACATATCCTTTACACTGGTAGTCATAGAAAAACTGTTTACAAGCAGTGCAGATCTGACCCTACTATGGGTGATAGGAGACTGTAAGTGTGAAGCTGGGAGACCTCTAAATCTAATCTAAGAGTATGACATGGAGAGGATTAAATAAGGGCTGGTCTGTGAAGGTGTTGGGTTGTCCACAAGTCCTGGCGATTGCAGCAAGAGAAGGATCTTTCTTCTGAAAGCTGTGCCATTGAACTTGGCTATGGGTGCAAGATGCACATCTTGCTCTTCATCCCCTGGTTCTTCTGTGGGCTCCCCTCTGGTGCTTATTGCTGCCCACAGTTGTACTGGTAGCTGTTGGACCACTGGTATGAGTAAGGGCAGGAGCCGTGTTGGTACATTTGGGCTGGAGCACACGTCTGAGGGCATCTCATGCTCGGCTGTCCACAGTGTGGCACGCAGAGGTGTCCCCTGCCCTGCATGAGGGGCTGAGGGAAAGCCATGGTGCACGGAGCAGGACACGTTGGGCTGCAGCAGGAAGAGTGACCTTCCACAACTTGTGTCTTAACGCACTGCGATGAGCACGGCGTGGAGCACTTGGGGATGCTCTGCACGGTCTTCCTCACAGCGCACATCTGGGCGCCTTTGGGAGCGCATGATGTGCACGATGAGCACTTCACCACACCGGGGTTGTGGCAGGGTGTGAAGACTGGCGTGGTGCACTTCACCACACCAGGGTTGTGGCAGGGTGTGAGGACCGGTGTGCCGCACTTCACCCCGCTTGGGATATAGCACTGCTGCTTGTACTGGTACCCATAATAAGACATTGTTCTGGGATGGAGACAAACCTGAAAAACAAAGTAGAGGAGACACAGGGACATGAATTCCCTGCAGAGCACAGCTTGTGTCTGACAGGTTGCCTTTGCTGTTTGAGCTCGTTGCTCTCAGCCCTCATCCCTGTAGCAGAAACTGCCCAGCGTTGCATTTACCTAACGAGCTCTTCCTGAGCTGCAGATATCCCGTGGAACTGGTAGCTATTACCCCTAGAAAAATGGGAGTTTCAGGCATAGCTTCAGCTCGTGAGGCAATGGTGCGTTTGGGATTAGTGCTGAGCTGCTCATCTTTTGTAGCGAGGGCTGTCATTTATTTGCTTCAATTGAAACTGGAATTGCTTTCTGCTGGCGCTAGGTAAAGCAAAAAGAAATATTTGCTTCCCTTATGCTAATTTAAATTGCAGAACGGAGGATTGCTATCTCTGTAATTGGCAGGGAGATGTGGCAGAGCTCTGTTTTCAGAAGCCTTATGTTCATTGAGGACAGAGCAATTTCTGAAAGTCTGCCCAAAGCTGCCGATATCCCGTAAGAGTAAAACAAGTCAAATACAACTCAGTGCAGCTGTGTAGATGCTTTACTGACTGCTCTGTACTCTGCTGTCTCTTGCTCTCCTGCTCCAGTAGAAGTTTGAGACCAAAGGGTTACAGGAATCATAGGAGATGCCTGCTCCCATCTGCTGCTCAGCTGCCCAAATTGGGCAGTGGAGCCCCCTGTGATACTGGGGCTGGGCTCCTGGCCTGGAGATGGGCAGGAGGGTGCAGGGTCCAGCCCAAAGAGGCATTGCCCGGCTGTGGGACATCAGAGCCACCTCTGCCACACTTGAGACACATGAGGTGTCCACTCCAAAGATGTGATTGAGCATGGAGAAGTGCTGAGACCTTGGATTTCCTAATTAAAATTTTAAATCTGGCTGCAAATCAGCTTTGCTCAGCGCTAGGAAATGACACTTGGGTGTCTGTACTCTGCACATCGGTGGCAGTTGCTCTTGCAGATGTACAGGGCTATGCTAAGAGCAAGCTCTCAAGGGCCAGGTCCCAGCTTCTGTAGATGAACATGATTTATTTACAAAGACGTTAACTGCAAACACAGGAGAAACGCCAGGCAAGGTTGGGTCAGGATTTTCTTGCTACGTTCCAAAAGTGGGCAGGTAATATTAGATCTTATGAAGAGCCTGCCCCCAAAATAGGTGCATAAAAGTTGTTCTGGATAAAAATTAGCCTCGGTGGTATCATAGAAATAATCTACATCAGTCTCTGGTTAGGTTGGTAAAGGTCGACTGCCAACAGAAATAGTTACTTGGACTACCAAAAACTACACAACTACAAAAGCCTGTATTTGCCTATACCTGTAATAAAACAACATACAAGATCTTTTAAAGGAAACAACCCCCTTAATTTGCAGTGTCAGAGTATTTCTGCAGGATCTAGACTCAAGTTCAAAGTATCAACAAAAGCATATTTGGCTGTTTAGAAATAGAAATAGGCAAATAACTTACCGAGCTCACGACGGAGAGCAAGAACTGGATTGAAAGCTTGGAAATGCTTGTTTTTATAGGGTCTTTTAGGCTGTATGGGAAACATAATTAGATACAGGAGAGAATTTGCTCCTTTTTTCATTGTCTATAATTATTTTACTGAGTCGTGATTATTAGGATATTGTTATCCCCAAATACCATGAAATGCACCTCACACCCTGCGGGTTTTTTCCATTTTAAATCTTTATGGGAGCGGTAAAAGCTGCCTTTTATTCCATTGACCTCATTAGTTATGTAAAGAAATCTATCCCTCTCCTCTTAAAGCTTGTTTGCAATTGGGAAGCAGCAGGGGGGGTGTGGGCAATGCTCATTTTCCCTTTTGCTCGTTGAAATGCAGGTGGGGGCATTGGGGAATTTGGCTTTGCAAGGGGATGCTGTGAAAGATGTCCCCAGAGCTTGGCATTTGGCTGATCTGATGCTCTTCAGACTTAATAAGAGTCATGTCCTGGTTTTATTAGGCTTTGTTTTTGGTTGGTATTGTTTTATGGCTGGAAACAAGGGCAGGGGAAGGCGTGGAGGCAAAGCGATGCTGTCTTTTGGTGGGGCAGAAAAACCAGGGCTGTGCCCAGGGCTTTTCTTGTGGTGGATTGAAATGTGCGTGGAAATGGGCAATGCAAGGAATCCTGACTCAGCCAAGGGTTTAAAAGCTGGGTATGGGGGCAGTGCTTGATGCAGGCAGCTGTGGTCCTATAGGTCCGATGGGATCAGACTTGAGCAGCAGTGGTGTTTGTGACATCTGGTTGGGTTCCTTGGCTGAGAAACAAGGAATTACCAGGTTGGACTAATTATGGCATCCCAGTGCTAGCAAAAGGGGCAATGCTTTTCTAATGACCGTGTTATCTTCCTCTGTGACCACCCCAATGGCTGCACCTCGAGCCCAGCTGTGCCCGTGCAGATGTTTCCTGGACGTGTGCCTTGTGCTTGTCCATCAGAAGGCAAAGCGCTCCCTGCCCGGGCTGTAATTTGTGGCCTTTGATGCCTTGAGACGCAGCCTTTAAATTGAGTATGTGCTGGCGTTCATTATAATGGAGTCCAGCCCAAAGAGCTTTGCTGGTGTAAAACATTAATCAGCATTTATGAGGAGTTTTAAGAGGTCCTGTTATGAAGGTGCTATTTAACAGCCTCTGCCAGTGTTGTTTTTCGTTTGGGTAAGCAGAGGACTGTACAAGCATGGTACATGGAGTTACCACCTTAATTTATCAGTAGAGCAAAGCTGAGCTGTGCTATGGATCACACCATGAGTCATGACTGTGTTTCAATGAAATCCACTGTTGCTGCTGGTTTTTCCTTTTTCTAGCTCTTGAGAGACACATCCACTGATTTTATTTATATAGCTCCCTGATTTTACCTAACTAGCAAATATAATACATGTTTATGTATTATTAAAGGGAATACAGTTATAACCCTGAATACTTACTGTTATTGCAGCCCCTTGTTTTGGGTCAAAATGATGGATGTAAGAAGTAAAGCCGTGCTTCATCTGGATATCACAAGGTTGCTTGAAGGTGTTGATGGTGTCTGCATCTTTTTGTCTTCTGATGGTTGCAAAGATGAAAATTCTTGCACTTGTTTTGTATCTTTAGTTTCTAAAGTGCTGAAGTTTGATTCTTAAGCTTATTTAAAGTAATAAATCAAGCTGCCACGTGTGCTGCTTTGCTGCGTTACTTCTTTGTGGACGTAGACTTGAGCTGGCAAGTTCTGGCCATGGTTCACCAGTTGACTCATCACTTCTATTTCCTTGTCGTCTTTGGTAGCGCTGGAGCTGGCAGTTGTAATACTCTTGTTAAAAAAAAAAAAATCCATATGACAACACCAGTTGTGTAGAAGGTTAATGAGCTTTTATGATGTGCTTTGAAAATGCTTTTAGAAAGCATTGGCCTGTCTGCTGCCTTTGTGTTCAGCTAAATGGGCCCTGCAGTGACGTTAACTCCAGGCAGGCTGCAGCAGAGGAGGAAACAAATCCCAGCAGTGGGGACTCCTCTCACGGGGGATTGAAGACCTTGACTGATCAGAATTATGAATACATCTCTAAAATAAGACTTTTATTTTTGGCTAACTTGAAGATAGTAGTTAGATATTTAATTCCACTGCTTCTAAGGAATTACTTTGGGGATAAGTTGCTACCCGGTCTAAGCTGAGGTAGAGGTGTGTGTTGCAATTCACACTGTTATCCTCAATTATAGAAAAGGCAGAGCCAGTTTTCCAGAGGAATTACGAATATCTTTTTGTCATCCTCAAATGTGATGATGCTATGGAGATAAATCTCTGCATGCAATTAAAGTAGGAAAGCATTCAAGGCATTTTCCACTGCTGTGGAAATCTTGATAGAGGTTTCTACTCCACAGTTAATGTGATGGAGTCTAGTTCTACACTTCAAAGTAATTTTGCTGAGGATCTGATGATATAGAAAAGTATTTTTTCAGTCCTTTCTTAAGCAAAATTTCTGTAATTAAAATCGGTTGTAGATTGGAGTAGCCAAGCTGCTACCCTCAATGGTCCGAGGAGCATTTGTATGGCAAAAGCCATCGCCATCCTTGGCATCTGCTGCTGACTCCACTGCTGGGTGTCAGAAAGCCTCATGCTGCAGTTTAGGGTGATAACCCCATGCTGGCAGCCGTCATTCATCCGCAATTAGGATTCCCAAGTGCATCTTTTGCTCATAGTTCTGTATGTGCAACATGTGCTATTATCATAATGGCTTTAGGTGTCCTTTTATTGAAGTGACTTGCTGGAAAAAATGCCTGACAAGGTCTTGTATAATTCACACCCTATTTATTGGGGTTTTTTTTACCTTTCCTCTAACCAGGTCATGATTTAGAGCTTCACAGTATAGGACACTTAATTGAATATAAAATATGGCTTTATTCTTTTTTCTTTTTTTTATGGTGAAAGCAGGCGTATTTGAAGAAGCCTGTGCTTGATGTCTTATTGGAAGAGCTGCACTGACTTCTCTGGATAGATTGGTGGAATATCCCCTCTACATAAAGTTTTGAAATAGCAGGGACTGAAAGACAATAAAGCACAGGTCATAAGAAATAACAAATAATTACAACGAGTGATTTATTTAAGACAATTGCCATTCATTAACAAAATGAAGTCTTGAAAGAAAAGTGTTTAGTAATCGATTGGGATGTTGTGCACGTAGGTGATTCATGCTATGGGCAGTCCAAGGGCGAGTATAAAAGCGCTCAGCATCAGGTCTTGGATCATCATTTCTCTTCTCTTATTTCTCTTGTGAGGTGGGTAAGTTTCAGCTGAATTCCTCTTTCTAACAAAACCTTTGTGGCCTTAAGTCAGGGTGATTTCTATGCAAATATTCTTTACTTTCAGTCTGAAGGTTTCTGGAGGTAGATCAATAAATTTGTGACTATTCCCTTTGGTAAGTGTAGAGGTGGATGACGAGTTTAGATTAATTTTTCATGAAAACGCCTTTATGGACGTTGTTTTCAATACAAGATTTATAGGCGTCTTCTATGAAAATTCTGCCTTTCCCTCTAGCCTGTTGGTAGTCTTATTATAGTGTTTGACCATGAAACTGATAAGAATTTGTGCCTTGTTCTTATACTATTCCTTTGTGCTCCAGATTAACCTTCCTTGAGCAATGGTGCACTCCTTAAGCCCATGCACTGACGGCAGCGCCTCCCCGTGCGGGGTGGCCGTGCCCCAGCCCATTGCCGACAGCTGCAATGAGCCCTGTGTGCGGCAGTGCCCCGACTCCCAGGTGGTGATCTACCCTCCTCCAGTGGTGGTGACCTTCCCCGGACCCATCCTCAGCACCTTCACGCACCAGAGAGTCGCGGGTACTGCAGGAGCCCCTGAAGTTGGAACTGGCTTTACCGGTGCCCGTGCTCCTGGAGGCTCTCAAGTTTACGGTGGTGCCCGATGGGGACGGGGGTACCCGATCGGAAGCTGCAGACCGTGCTAAACCTCGTGAGAGGTGCTGCTGGAAGAGGATGTCCAAGAGATGACAAGCGGGATGTAGATATACAGCTGACCATCGGATGCATTTGATGGCTGCCCCAAATGCTCAGCCCTTCTAAATGCATCTGTAGATGCTCAGTTCTTCTGAAAAATCCATTTACATCTTTCTTACAGCTCTCCTGAAAAATCAGTTTACATCTTTCTCACATTACCCTTCCTGATTTTCTTTTGCTAATGCCTTCCCATCTTTCCAAGTGCTTGGTTCTCTATGCTGTGGACTGTATTGCTAATTCCATGGGTGCTTGTAGGTGTCATTGGGGCAATGTAAAGTGAGCTGATATGACATCCATTTCGATCCCTTTGTAGGCTCTTTCTGTGGCTCGTGATGTATTAAAAAGGGTTGTGGAGTCAACCAGTCTGTGCTCTGTTTCTGTGTGTGCCTTGCTGTGATCAGGGCAGAGTATCAACGCAGAGCCGCAATAGGGAAGCGACATCGGTTATTACGTGAATCATCTCACATCAAATCACAGGCTGTGGGCAATGTGGAACCTGCACTATATAATTCTGCCTCTGTATGATCTGCTGCTTTCTCATTAAACACGATCTTGCAACATGTTATTGGCCTCTACGCACGTGTGCGTGTCTGTGTGTGTTCCCCTCTGCTGCTCCTAATTCGGGTGCCTTTGTCAGCTCCCCGCTGATCCTATCTGACCGCTTCAGGTCAATGATATTCCCGAGAGATTTGGCAGTGGGTTGTGTTTGTCTCCTTTCCACAGCAACCTCTGTGCTGTAGCTGTCTCTTCAGGAAACTGCTGCCCACGTCTTTGCTTTCCTTGCTCCTGGTCCTGCTCAGCTTTGAGGAGGTCTTTCCTCAGTACTGGCTCTTCTGGTGTCCTCAGACTCAGCCTCCCCATCTGAGGCAGTGACAAAATGCATCGGAGCAGAGAACCATGGGGAATTGGCATTGCTAAGAAGAGCCTGAAGCCAAGTGTTATGTAGCAGCAGCTACTTTTGAGTGTAAAAGTTAAATTTCTGGCTTTACTGCTCTGCTCAGTGTTTACAACAACCTAACTGGTGCGTGTGAAAGCGGATGGTGATGTTCAGTCATGGAATGTCTTCAGAAATGTATAGATAATAAATCTTTCACAAGCTTTCCATGCTGCTCTGTGTGTGAAGTTTTATCTAATAATTTTTTTCTACAGAAATGGCATAATTCACTATTGCAAGCTGATACAAGAGTGCTGGATTATTTCTTAGTCTGTATTTGGAGAATTATTGTCCTTCTGTGTAAGGAAAACAAAGCTGAGCAGGCATTGCAGTGGTGTGTAATTGGCTGTTGGTGAGCCCTAGTTGAGGTGATTAAACCAGCTTCTCACCAACCACATAAATCCTTCCCTACAAAAGAGAAATCCCCCAGACCTCAAAAGCCAGCTGAAGGCATCTTTATTGTTATGCTAATGGTGCATTTGGAAATGAACCGAGGTTTATTACTGAGGCCTCCCAAGTTGCACTTTCCATGTAATAAGTTGAGACTTGCAGTTACCACAAAAACACCAAGTGCCAGTAAAACTGGGGAGTTTTGCCTGTGGCTTTCTATGGAGATGTGCATTTCCAGTTTGGGTCAGCTGTCCTGGTTATGTCCCCTCCCAGACTCTGTCCACCCCCAACCTATTGGTGTTCGGGGGCGAGTCCCAGCCTACATAATTAATGCTTTATATGATTAGAATATTCATCTAAATATGGTGAATTCTGGAATGCTTCTTGTTTCCCTCATTATTTCCAGTAAATATTCCTATACTATGGCCCAATGTCCCTTGTCTTAAAAAATTCTGTTGTAATACTGGACTGTAAGAATTATTTTGATAAATGTTCTAGCCCAGCTTGTGCCATAGTCAGGGGCCTGATTTCTCATTTGGCTTGAGTTTAGTCTTTAAAAGTGATTCTCACTCTTGCGGAGGATCTCTGTGCTGCTGGCATGCCCTGCAGCGTGCCTCGTGTGGGTTGTGCACAAAGTGCATTTAAATTGGTAATTTCCTACATGCATGCAGTAAATACATCCTGCTTCAGACTGGCATTCAGAAGTCTAAATGAAATTACAGGAGTTGGTTTTCTGTTAGCTAAATTGTCTGTCATCTACTATGATAATATCTTCTAGGCAGGCACAAAGTTCCTCTAATCATCCAACTTTTCTTAAGCCTTAGGTTACAAAACCCTATAAACCAGCAGAAAATGACCTTCTGATACCACTGAGCAGGTATGAGAAACTCAGAGCTTCCTGAGATGCTAGGATGGCTACGTGGGAAATGAGCATCTGCTACTGACTGGTGCTTGGGTGGGAGGGAATGGTCTGGACCCCAATTCTGTGATGATTTAGGACTTCCTGAATCACTGATGTTTGTGAATGAATAGGTAAATGATTCAGTCTGTTTGGTAACTAAGGCTGAGAGCCCTGTGGTAGGTGCAGCTGGGGTGAGAAATTGGTTTCCCTGGCTCCCTGTGTGATGGTTGGGCTCCAGCGTTTGCAGAAGGCTGACCTGCAGCTGGGAAGGGATGACCTGAGTGGGTTTGGAAGGGAAGAAACATTAATATTGCTGCATTGGCAAATGTGGACAGGGACCTAATGCTGAAGTAGGGCCAAAGGATCCTGTGCAGGCTGAGAATTTCACCCAAACCTTTGGCTTGCCATATTTTATCCCATCTGTCTTCCTGTGCATCTCTGTATAAGCTCTTCTGCACTGTAGGTGCAGGTGGGAAAAGCTTCGTGTACCAGAGGGCATCCAAGGGAGATAAACTGAATTTACTGGGGTGGGAGACTCTACCATTTCTTAATGCTTTGCCTGGGGAACCCAGCCCTTTTTCTGCTGCTGACAGCAGCTAGCAGGATTACAAAAGGTGTCCTAATAGCTTCACTGGTTTCAAAGAGCTGTACTGATTTACTGAGGCTAGGGTGGAGGTTGCTGCCTCTACCCTTGTCCCAGGGCGTCCTGATCTGGCTCTGCCTTGCTCAAAGTAGGGCACAAACAAGCGAGCTCTGAGCGATGAGGCAGCAGACCAGGCCCATCTCTTGGCTCTGGCTACTTGGCTCTTGGCTCTGGCTACTCCCAAACAAGGAAATGAATGTGTGGAGCTTACCCTCTGCTAGGATCATGTTCAAGGTCAAGTGCTCTAAGTGAAGGCAATGGCGTGGATGTAAAGAAGTGGACTTTGGGCAGGAGGAATAGCACTTAGAGTTTGGGGATTATTCTGTACCTGTCTGTGATTTTCTGTCTAGGAAAGTGCTTCTCCAGTCTGGTCCACTGGTGATTTTCTTGACCCTTTCCTCTTTGCTCTGTCAGCTGGGGAATGCAGAAATGCCAGTGCAGGTGGCCACCATGGGAAGAGATGGGGTAGCCATGTAGGGTGTCTCTTAAATCAGCCCAGAGGTGCCCTCTCGCAGTCACTTCTGCAACAAGATTGCTGACTCCTGGTGCTGTCTTTGATGTGTAACTGGGCTTGCATGGGATCCATGCAGTTTTGTCTAGGCTATGCTTGTTGAACCACATAGTTTCATGCCAGATTATAATCTTTAATATTATAAATCTAAATCAGGACTACTCAATCTCCTGAAGTGACATGGTAGAGGCTGACAGGAGCTCCCTGAATAACCTGGCTGTTCAGTTTGCAAACAAGATGCTCTCCAGCTGATGGCCATGGCTTGGTTGCCTTTGGTGTTTTCCTTTAGGTGACATTGACCTTAAGTGTCATTGTTGTTTTTCCTTGGCAGATCACCAGATTTCCACTCTCTCTCTTGCTTTTGGAAGTTATTTTTTTAAGCTTGCTCCAGGAGTGTGTGTGTTTGGTAACGCAAACCGGTGATGCCCTTTTCTGGAGAAGCATTTGTGTAAACCCAGGGTCACAGGTTAGTTAAAATGAGGTAGAACTTCTTCCTGCTCTGGGAAATGAGCTAGGGCTGGAGTGTTTCAGATAGAGCTGCGATGATGCACAAGGCCAGGTTAGATGAGGCTTTGAGCATCCTGGTCTGCTGGGAGATGTCCCTGTCCCTAGCAGGGGAGGTGGCACTGGATGATCTTAAAGGTCCCTTCTAACCCAAACCATTCTATGATAGTCCCTAGCATCTGGAGTTTAGATGTCCTTACTGTATGGTTGGTGTTTCTGGTACCTTTACAGTGTTATACGAGCACAGACAAAATAAGACTGGAACATCTGATGCTATGAAGCAGAGTAATTTTAATGAAAGTAAGAAACAGTAGCAGAATAAGTTTACAGTTTCACAAAAGGGTCTGCAGCAAGCAGAGCATTTCTGATGGTGGATGATGCTCTCTTCCTCTGGAAACTGGATTTTGGCAGCTCCAGCTGTGTTTCTTGCTCAGAGTTGCTTGTACATAATGTTCACTGCCAGATGAGGAGGAGCATGGATGTGGGGTAGGAGCTTTTCTGCTAGATGTCATCTTTGGTGAAGTTGATTGCTAAGCAGAGTGGACTTGTTCATGGTAGTTGTAGAAACTCTTACTATTATGGCGATACAAAGTGGCTGTCAAAGAACTGAAAAGGCAATTTACTCCCACCCACAAGTCTTTGCTTGATCAACATGCTGTAAAAGTGCCTCAGTACTTGCTGTAATTCAGAATCCCCTTTAGAGTAATAGTGAAAGAAACAGGAGATGTTAGAGAGGGAGGGTTGCGTATGAGGCAGCCCTACACAGCTGGGCACCTACACACTGAACCCAGCCAGAGATGTGGGTGCTCGGTGTTTCTCAGCACCATGACCTTAGCCATGAAGCGTGTCCTGCATTTCATTTCTTGGTTGCTATTCCTGCTGGTTCAGCATGGACAGCACTTTCAGTAGTTGTATCTGTTGCCAAAACGAGAAAAGAAGGGGTAGCCGTGACCAAATCCATACGAGTCCTCAAAGCCGTAACCGTTCCAGCCTCTGTTCCCGTACAGATTCCCGAAGCTCCTATGGTTGTACGGGTTCCAGTGTCTGAACTGGTCCCTGTAGTAGCCA